CCGCTCCGGGGTGCAGGCGCAGCCCTCCAAGAAGGGCCAGTTCTTGAATGTAGAGATGCGGTGGTCCTTGAGAAAGGGCTGCCAGGCAGGGGGCAACGTCGGGGCACCCATGCCGCCGCCGCCACCTCTGCCAAACGGTCCGGCGACTCAAATCCGGCGGTTAATGGCGCGCCGCGGGGCATGTCGGGAGCGCACGCCCTCTTAGGCGGTCTCCCGCGCGGCCGTCTGGGAGTAGAGGCGGGGCGGCGCGGGGCGTGCCGGGAGTTGTAGTCCGCCCGCCGTGTTGCTCAGTCCCGGTCTGTGCACCCGGCGACTCCGCGCCGGCTCGCTCCTGCCCACACCTAGCGCCTCCTCGACTTCTTTCAAAGAGCGCGGGCAGGTCGGGCGCAGTGGCTTACGTCTGTAATCCCAACACTTTGGGAGGCCGAGGCGGGAGGATCACCTGAGGCCAGGAGTTCGAGACCAGCCTGGCCATCAAAGCAAAACCTTGTCTTTACTAAAAATACAAAAATTAGTGGGGCGTGGCGGCGCACGCTGGTACTCCCAGTTACTACTGGAGAAGCGCTTGAACCCAGGAGGCAGAGATTGCAGTGAGCTGAGATCGCGCCACTGCTCTCCCGCCTGGGCGACAGAATGAGACTGTTTCCAAAAAATGAAATAAATAAATAAATAAGACTGTCTCAAAATAAAGAAAGAAAAATAAAAAACAAAGAGTGCGTGCAAAAAACAGCTGAGGACGGATTGAAGTGCCCGTAGGGGGCTCAAGGAGCAGCCAGCCCCTGTCCAGCACACTCGTGCTAAGCCCTTAGCCTGCAAACTCCTTATTCGTTTTTGGTTTTTTGTGTTCCCCACTCTTGAAACCGCTTCGAGCCAGCTTCCCCTCTCCCTGTACCTGCCCTGTTAGAAATGCTTGCAGATGGGCATCACCCCGAGGTCCTGCACCCGCTGGGGAAAAGACGTCAGGTTAAATGAATCCACAGTTAATTCCACTGTCTTGTGAGCTATTAACTGGTCTCCGACCCCCACCCCCTTTTTCTTGAGACAGTGTCTTGCTCTATTGCCCAGGCTAGAGTGCAGTCGTGTGATTATGGCTCACTGCAGCCTCAAATTCCTGGGCTCAAGCGATCCTCCCACCTCAGCCTCCCAAGTAGGTGGGACCACAGGCATACACCATCACGCTTGGCTTTTGTTTGTTTTGTTTTGTTTTCTTGTAGAAACAGGGGCTGGCTATGTTGCCCAGACTTTCCCTTAAGATTAATCAAAAACTATTATTTCTTATATTGATACCATTCACATCAGTTACACATATAATACTAACAAGATGCACATTATGAAGTTCGCGGACATTCTAATGGGCAGTAAAACCTCAACATTTAGGGCTGGGTTTACGGCTGCCACTCTCTAAGGCCAGCACTGCCTCTGGCTCCCAAGCTCCCGCAGAAGGAGAAGGGTGGGTAAGGCAGTCTCTATACCACGGCTGGCGCAAAGCCCACGGTTCCACAAATGTGCCTGTGACAAAGCACCCAGGAAGCAATGTTTGCCACTGTCAAGTGTGTGCCTTCTGCTCCAGGGTGAAGAAACCCCATCCTCATGAGTGGGTACTGGGCCCGTGACCTCAGACATTCTCAGAAGTCTACTGGTGGCGCATGCCTGTAATCCCAGCACTTTGGGAGGCCAAGGTGGGCAGATCGCTTGAACTCAGAAGTTCGAGACCAGCTTGGGCAACATAGTGAGACCCCCATCTCTACAAAAAATACAAAAAAAAAAAAAAATTAGCGGCGCATGGTGGTGCTCACCTGTGGTTCCAGCTTCTCTGAAGGCTGAGGTGGGAGGATCGCTTTAGCCGTGGAGGGAGACTGCAGCGAGCCGAGATCACGCCATCACACTCCAGCCTGGGCAACACAGTAAGACACTGTCTCAAAAAAGAAAAAAATTTGAAGTAAAGAAAAAACAAACATAAACCAAAAATAACGCCACTGGAATTGCTGAGGTCTTCACAGCACATCTGGGCTTCCAGGACGCAGCTCCTGCCGCTTTGCAGGAGGCAAGTGAGGCCCGCCTGGTTGGCCTTCTTGAAGACACCAGACTGGGTGCTATCCGTGCCAAATGCATGACGGTTATGCCAAAACACATCCAGTAGCCACATTCATGGAGAACATGCTGAAGCATCTGCTATGAAGGGCAACATTTCATTCTCAAAAAATATATATATTCTTCTTGTTACTGGCAGTTCTGATGGTTAGATATTTTTCCCTGGGGTCAAAAGACGCCTAAATATAAGATTGAGAGTGGAAAAACAGGGAACAGAAATCAGGTTATTGGCCAGGCACAGTGGTGCACACTTGAAATCCCAGCACTTTGGGAGGTCAAGGCAGGCAGATTGCTTGAGCCCAGGAGTTCAAGACCAGCCTGGGCAACATGGTGAAACCCTGTCTCTACAAAAAAATGTGAAAATTAGCCAGGCATGGTGTTGCATGCCCATGGTCCCAGCTACTAGGAGGCTGAGGCAGGAGGATTGCTTGAGCCTGGGAGGCAGAGGTTGCAGTGAGCTGAGATGGCACCATGCACTCCAGTCTGGACAACAGAGTGAGAGCCAGTCTTGATAAGAAGGAAAAGAAAGAAAAGAAGGAAAAGAAAAGAAAAAAGAAAAAAAGGAAGGAAGGAAGGAAGGGAGGGAGGGAGGGAGGGAGGGAGGGAACCACCGCACCTGCCTTTTTTTTTTTCTTTTTTTTTTTTGAGACGGAGTTTCGTTCTTGTTGCCCAGGCTGGAGTGCAATCACAGGGCCTCTGTTCACTGCAACCTCTGCCTCCCAGGTTCAAGTGATTCTCCTGCCTCAGCCTCCCAAGTAGCTGGGATTACAGGCGTGAATCACATGTCCGGCTAATTTTGTATTTTTAGTAGAGACAGAGTTTTACCATGCTGGTCAGGTTGGTCTTGAATTCCTGACCTCGGGTGATCCAGCCGCCTCAGCCTCCCAAAGTGCTGGTATTACAGGCCTCAGCCACTGCGCCCAGCCCAGATTTTGTAACACATATTTAATTTATAGGTCAGCTTTTGGCAATATCGATTATTATTTATCAATAATATCTTCTGCTATTTTGAGCCTTCTACATTATCTCTACCAAGTTCTGATTGTCTGGGAGTCAAACTTTTAACATCTAAATTTAGTAGCTAAAAAAGCCTTGAGGCTCATATCAGTTTTTGCAAAGACATTTCCTATGTAAATTTTTAGCTGTTATCAAATACATTTTGTTTTGTTCATTTCTACCAGGAACAATCGTTATGAATTAGATGAGGGATTAGTAGCTTGAATGTATTTCTCAGCTTAATTCACAAAATTGTGAGCAGTTTTGTGAAGCAAGGTTGAGAGGGAAAATGAGGGCAAGAACAACACAAAGAGGGACCCAAACAGGACGAGAGGGAGGTGTGAGGTTGAACTGGTTCTATTGGTTGCTGAATTTTCAGAGTCAAAGGTATCCCTGGTCACCATGAAAAGGTCAAGTCCACGCCTGAGAGTTCTTCAAAATGTTGTAATCGCTGCCAGTTTGAGAGTACAAAACAACCTGTGTTTAACCTATTTCTCTTTATTTAAAAGGGAGGCTGGTCACCTCTTCTCAAGTTCATCGGTCACTTAATTTCTGTGAATTGCCCGTTCCTGGGCAATTGCCGTCCCTTGCCTCCTTTTCTGTTGGATTACTAATGGTTTTCCTATTGCTTCGTATGAGTTTTTATACAGAAGGGAGTTAGCTTTACTTGTCCCCCTCATCCCCACCCTCCTGTGCTGCTTTTTTATTTGCCTTTTGACTTTGTGGTGTGGATTCTTTCCTGCAAAAGTTTTAAATCTTTTTTTTTTTTTTTAACGGAGTCTCATTCTGTCACCAGGCTGGAGTGCAGTGGTGCGATCTCAGTTCACTGCAACCTCCGTCTCCCGGGTTCAAGCGATCCTTCCACCTCAGCCTCCTGAGTAGTGGATTACAGGCATGCACCACCATGCCCGGCTAATTTTTGCATTTTTAGTGGAAACAGGGTTTCACCATGTTGGCCAGGCTGGTCTCAAACTCCTGATTTTGTGATCTGCCTGCCTCGGCCTCCCAACATGCTGGGATTATACACGTGAACCACCATGCCCGAACTTTTAGGGTTTTTTTTTTTTTTTTTTTGAGATGGAGTCTCACTCTGTCACCCAGGCTGGAGTACAGAGGCATGATATTGGTCCACTGCAACCTCCGCCTCCCAGATTCAAGCGATTCTTCCACCTCAGCCTCCCAAGTAGCTGGGGTTATAGTCACCCACCATCATGCTCAGCTAATTTTTATATTTTTGTAGAGATGGGGTTTCAGCATGTTTACCAGGCTGGTCTTGAACTCCTGACCTCAGGTGATCTGCACCCCTCAGCCTCTGAAAGTGCTGGGATTACAGGCGTGAGCCACCTTGCCTCGTCAAAAGTTTTAAATCTTTATGCTGTCATATTTATCACTGTTTCTTTCTGATTTTCGTTTTCTATTTCTGGTCAGTGTTGTTTTTATCTTGCTTAGAAAGCCTTTGTCCATTCCAAGATGCTTTATAAAAGATACTGAGGCCTGGCACGGTGGCTCATGCCTGTAATCCCAATACCTTGAGAGGCCAAGGTGGATCACTTGAGGTCAGGAGTTCGAGACCAGCCTGGCCAACATGGTGAAACTTGTCTCTACTAAAAATACAAAAATTAGCTGAGCGTGGTGGTGGGTGCCTGTAATCCCAGCTACTCGGGAGGCTGGGGCAGGAGAATCGCTTGAACCCGGGAGGCAGAGGTTACAGTAAGCAGAGACTGTGCCACTGCACCCTAGCCTGGGCCACAGAGCGAGACTCTGTCTCAAAAAAGAAAGAAAGAGAGAGGGAGAGAGAGCAGAAAGAAAGAAAGAAAAAAGAAAGAGAAAGAGAGAGAAAGAAGAAAGAAAGAAAAAGGAAGGAAGGAAAGAAAGAAAGAAAAAGAAACAAACAAAGACTGATTCAATGAAGATTCCTTCTGGTTTTTCCTGGTTTTGGTTTTTATGTTGAGAACTTGACCCCTCTGGGAAGAGTGTCAATGACGGCAGTAAAAAGGTTCATATTTACGTTTTCCAAGCTCTGGCCAGTTCATTCAATAGCCAGCTTTGTACAATGGGTTTTGTTTCTGTTTTTGTTTTTTGAGACAGGACCTCCCTCTGTCGCCCAGGCTGGAGTGAGGTGG